GTCCGCCTTTCCTCTCCAACGGGGGGGGGTAAACTTGTCACCGGGTGGCCACCACACTCTACCATAGTGCGTGGTATGCTGGCTAGCACGTATACTAACCCCTGTAAACCAGTGGGTTCCCCTGGTGGTCCAGGATGGATGAGATCACGTGGCTTGTCAGTCAACAATGGAAGCAAGCCAACCCTTGAAGGGAAGCTAACCCATACCATACCGACGGCCTCAGTCTGAAGCTGTCGTTGCCAAGAGATGGAGGTGATGCTGATACACCGAATGGACGACGTTGCTCTTGATTGATTGATTGCACTCCGTGAAACACGACACCACCTTAGCTTCAACCCTCCGTCCAGGTGTACCACCAGGTTGGACGTTCTTCATTTGAATTCAATTGAATGAATGAATGAATTAATTAATTAATTAATTAATTTAAATTAATTGCTGGCAACGCCATGGACCGTACGGTCGAGGCACAGATCAGCCACCAAAAGATGCGGGAGATGGCATGGCCATGGACTGCAAAAAATGCGGAAGATGGCATGGCCATGGACTGCAAAAAATGAAACGATGGCATGGCCATGGACTGCAAAAAATGCGGGAGATGGCATGGCCATGGACTGCAAAAAATGAAACGATGGCATGGCCATGGACTGCATAAAATGAAACGATGGCATGGCCATGGACTACAAGAAATGAAACGGTGGCATGGTCATAGACTACAAGAAATGAAACGATGGCATGGTCATGGACTACAAGAAATGAAACGATGGCATGGTCATTAATGGTCATGCACTACAAAAAATGAAACTACGGCATGGTCATACACTACAAGACTAAAACCATGGCATGGTCAATTAATTATGCACTACAAAGACTAAAACCATGGCATGGTCAATGGATCATGCACTACAAAGACTAAAACCATGGCATGGTCAATGGATCATGCACTACAACAAATAAAACCATGCCATGGTCAATCAATCATGCACTACAAGTAGCCTACAACATACAAAACCATACCATGGTCAATCAATCATGCACTAAAAGTTGTCTACAACATACAAAACCATGCCATGGTCAATCAATCATGCACTAAAAGTTGTCTACAACATACAAAACCATGCCATGGTCAATCAATCATGCACTACTAAAAGTAAAACCATGGCATGGCTTCCATTCAAAACCCTGACAGCTTCAGAGGCTCTTTGCCTTGCTGTTCAGGGTCGGAGCGATGACATTGATCAAAGGCTACATGAAGAGAACTCATCCAGAAGCAGTGGGCTGAATGGGTGCTTGTCAATCCGCTAAGGACAGATGCAACAGCCACTAGAATCCAATTCCATTGAATTCTATTGCAGTCCGGCCCCAAAATGGGCTTAATGAATGAATTCATTAATAAGATGACATGATAACATGGGATGAAAAGAATTCAAATTGTAATTTACATCAGTCGTAGGTAGAGGATGCAACTCTGCCAGCTGTAATTGCTCAACAAAATAGTTTGTAGAGGATGCATGCTTGAATATCTGGACATGTTTATGTTCATTTATACTAATGAAGAGGCTTATCCAACTCCATTCCGAATTGGATAGATCAAGTTATTCCTTCATCGATGCAGGAACTTGACACCTGACACAATCAACTACAACCGTGTTTTCCTCAGTAATAATTAAAAGATGCAACTGCATTGACAGACGACAGTAGGAATACATTATATCAACAGCGATAACTGCGGTACACCATCGTTGCCATTGCATTACAACTTTTACCTGAAAATGAATGATCTAAACTTGCTATGGTTATTGAAATAAGATTGAGAAATTAAAAATAGAAGCATATATCGGTACATATGATTTGCTACATTATACAGAACTCGTATTCTTATTTAATTTTCTTCTACTTTTTTTATTTGCATATAAAAAAGTGATTCAGCAATAAACGTGAGCAATGAATGAAGATGAAATAAATCTTAAATTTTAGGGATAGCAACAATTTCGCCCTAAGGAGTCAAACCGGCTCCTCAATTTGATATCCATACCATTTCATAATCATGAAAGGGTGTTTGGCTTATTAATTAAGTGATTCAAGACAATCGCTTAAAACTGGACTATTTGCCACTGTGCACTTATGTTTCCAACAGATTACCTTGCCTATAAACATTTATAACATGCACAAACAAAACAATCAATAGAATGCAAATAGTATTTATTAACCTTAATTGATTGCGATGATATCATGCCATGAAATAATTTAAGCGTTCAGATAGGGTCGTACGCGTACGATTCCATAAGCAAATATCAATTATTAGCAAGTCGATTGTTTCACGCACAGTCTCCTAGTAGTCTAGTACCA